AGGAAGTCAATAAATAATATTTAAAGCTGAAAATAAAAGTCTGAAAATACTAGTGTAATCTTGTTATTTAAAGATAAAGAAGTAAACATTAATACAAGAAGAAAAGCTAAGACTTGAAAATGGTTGTCTCTGGAGAGAGGGAATTGGGAATAGCAGCATAAGCCCGGTATAGTTTTTATACATTTTTTATATTTTGGGGGGTTAAAAATAAAAATGAAATTTAAAAATATTAAATCAAACAATTATGTAAAGCACCTAGACTACGCCTTTCACAGTTAAGTGTTGCATAAAAGTAAACTATTATTACCCTGTTCCTTCTTTTTAGAAGGCATAATAAAGCCTTGCTCAGCCAATACAGGCTTTCCACTCGTTTCTCTTTTTTCCCTCAATTCCCACCATACATGTGCCACGTTGACTCTGAGGAAGGAATTACAGACATGCACTTCAGTATCTTTCTCTTTGGTTTGTGTCTCTCCCTGATACACTAATCCGTTGTTTTACCGATGTAAATGAGAAGGAGTTGTTCAGATGTTACCACTTTCTGAATCACGTTGTTGGTACCTTTTTTTAGATTTTCATGACAAAAATCTTGAATTTTTTTTCTTCTCTTTTGCCTAATGATTTGCATTTCTGTGATAATAAACGGATTTTATGCATTTTGTTCAGGCTTACTCTAGTTTCCTAATTAGTCTCGTTCTGTGTTTTTTAACACGTTTTCTTCCTGTGATCAGGGCCGCAAGCTTCTTATCATTGGGACCACCAGCCGCAAAGACGTTCTTCAGGAGATGGAAATGCTTAACGCTTTCAGCACCACCATCCACGTGCCCAACATTGCCACAGGAGAGCAGCTGCTGGAAGCTTTGGAGGTGAAGATGAGTCGTGGATTGCACACTGTCTATAAGAAAGAAATTGAGGCTAAAATAATGCTAAGGGGCCCCACAGCTGTTGCACCTGGTGTTTGGTTTCTGTGTTAACCTAAAACATGGGACCCTGGGATATTATAGGTTGAGTATACTTCATCCAAAATGCCTGGGACCAGAAGTGTTTCGGATTTTAGATTTTTTTTTACATCCCTGATTCAAAAATCTGAAATCTGAAATGCTCCAAAGAGCATTTACTTTGAGTGTCATGTCGGTGCTTAGAAAATTTTGGATTTTGGAGCATTTTAGATTTTGGATTTTCAGATTAGGGATGCTCAACCTGTACCTCCAACTGTTTTCAAGCATTAAAGGAGGAAGATGAACTATAAGTGACAGTGAATTAATTTCCCATTCTTAGGTGTAGGTACCATACAAACTGCCAGGAATTAATTACTCTGTACCCAGCGTGAGCACATAGATTACATGGACCAGAAATTGGATGGGTAGGGGCAGGGGTGAGGAAATCGCAATATAGAAAAATCATTCATCCATAGTGGCTTTCAGCTCATTTCCTTGCATTTAATAAATTGGAGCAATGAAAAATCCTCAGAAACTTCAAAAAAGCTATAGAAATAGAAGGAATCTTATTAACAAGTTTGTAATATAGAAATGTTTTCTTAATTTTTTGAAGGTAACAGTCTTTAATTTTTTAAAAAGTATGTTCTTCATTGAACTTTTTATTAACATCAGTGTGCACGAATGACATGATGAGATGTGTTGGAAAATACCATCTAGTGAGTTGTTCAGCAGTGGTGGAGTCAGCAAGGCCTCTTCGAGTCCTCAAGACCCATAAAGTTGGTGTGTGCTCCCAACAAAATAGAAATTATCTATATGATAAATGTTTCCAGGTTACGTGTTTAGGCAGCTTTTACGCCAGGGTTGGGTTAGAGAATTAAATTTAGTTTGCCTTGACATATACAGATTGTTCCTAGAAAGGAATGTAAAAAATTTTGACTTATGTTTGTTATGGATTGGAGCTATTTTTCTTCCCAGCAAATTTATCTCGTAAGTTATAATGGAGGTCCATAGGAAAGCAGGGTTTAAGATACCAGTTTTCACTTCCATGATTGCACTTAATGAGTTTAGGAAGGTCAGACTGGATTTTGAAATAGGAGAGAGAGAATCCTGTGAGCACGAACAGTCAGGTAGTTCTTCTCACTGTTCTTTTAAGGGTAAGTGTGAGAATTAACGAATGTTAATGTACTTACTGTAAAAGTGCTTTCACTATCATTGTTTTTGTAGCTTTTGGGCAACTTCAAGGATAAGGAACGCACCACAATTGCACAGCAAGTCAAAGGGAAGAAGGTCTGGATAGGAATCAAGAAGTTACTAATGTTGATCGAGATGTCCCTGCAGGTAAGGTGCTTCCTTCTCCGTATGATTCAGACGCAGAAAGAAGCTTCATGATCCACCAAGAAGTTTTAATGTTTCCTTTGCCAAAGTTTTAATAGTTTTTGTATTATTTCCATTTTTTAAATTTTTTTTTATTTTTTGTAGAGACAAGGTCTCTCTATGTTGCTTAGGCCGGTCTCATCTCATGGCCTCAGGCAATCCTCCTGCCTCAACCTCCCAAAGTGCTAGGATTACAGGTGTGAGCCACTTCACCAGGCCTTTTATATATTATTTCCAAACTCGAGTTGGTATTAGTAGCCTGCCTCTGAGATCAGACAATAACTTGTTGATAACTTTTCCAGTTCTTAAAATTCAGAAATGGAAGAAAAGATTATAAAATTACTTTTAGTTTTAAGGAGTCACTAGATCTTAGTACTACAAAGGACTTCAAAGAGCAATTGTTCTGGTGTCCCTTGTTTTAGAGGTGAGTGTACTATGTGTCCCACAGGTTGTCAGTGAGCAATCCAAGATCACACAGCCAGTGAGTGATGGAGAAGGGATGGTGTACAGCAGAGGTCAGTAAGCTACGGGGCATGTAGGCCAAAAGGGGTCTTAGAGACAAGTTGATTGAGTTGTACAGACTAGACTTGGGCCCTGTATATTTTCCCCTGGCTGGGCTCCTAGAAATTTCATGCAAACTACTGTAGGGTTGAAGCATCCAGGATCGTGTAGAAAACTGAGCCCCAGGCTGCTGCCTGGGCAAAGACAGATGAAACTTCTTTGGGACTTTCTCACATCTACTGGCAGTTTACCTTTCCTCTTTTTGGAACCCCACCCCTCCATGTGCTCATCCTGTGTTGTCTTGTCC